GAGCGGGGCCGGGGCCAGCCGGCCTGTCTCACGATGCAGCCCCCGACGTAGAGCCTGGACGGCGCCGAGGAGCGCGGAGCGGCGCGCAGCCCGCCCGCCTGAGACGGCCGTCCGGCCTCGCGCCCGCCTACTCCCTCCAGCCCGGACCCCCCTGAAATATGTTCAGGGGCGCTTGGATGTGGCCCGGGAAAGACGCCGCCGCGCTGAGTATCTGCTGCTGCTGCTGCTGCTGGGCTCCCAGGCCGAGCGACAAACCTTGCGCCGACTCTGAGCGGGCGCAGCGATGGCGACTGTCCCTGGCGTCCCTGCTCTTCTTCACCGTGCTGCTCGCTGACCATCTGTGGCTGTGCGCGGGGGCCCGGCCCCGGGCCAGGGAGCTGAGCAGCGCCATGCGGCCGCCCTGGGGTACCGGCCGTGAGCGGCAGCCGGTGCCTCCTCGGGCGGTGCTGCCACTGCCGCCGCCGTCGCCCGGCGAGCCCAGCGCGTCCCTGGGCTCCTGCGGCCCGCGATATAGCAACCTGACCAAAGCCGCCCCCGCCGCCGGCCCCGGGCAGGTCTGCGGCGGCGTCCCGGAGCCCACGGGGCTGGACGCAGCTTGCACCAAATTGGAATCTTTGCAGAGACTTTTCGAACCGACTACCCCGGCCCCCCCTCTGCGGCCCCCTGACTTTCTTTCCCTTGCCCGGGCCGAGTTCCCCTCCGCCAAAAAAAACTTGCTCAAAGGCCACTTTCGGAACTTCACTCTCTCCTTTTGCGACACCTACACGGTCTGGGACTTGCTGCTAGGCATGGACCGCCCCGACAGCCTGGACTGCAGTCTGGACGCCCTGCTGGGGGACCTGCTGGCCGTCGTGGCCAGCCCTGGCTCTGGGGCCTGGGAGGCATGTAGCAACTGTATCGAGGCATACCAGCGACTGGACCGACATGCTCAGGAAAAATATGACGAGTTCGACCTCGTGCTACATAAGTACTTGCAGGCGGAAGAGTACTCAATCCGGTCCTGCACGAAAGGCTGTAAGGTAAGAACTAGCGCCCACAGCCGTAAGGGCTGCCTGGGCATTGGCAGCAGAAGCAGTGTGACCCGGAGAAAACAGGTCTTCTCTACCCACTCCACCACCCCCACCATTCCCAGACACTGCAGCTGTCATCCTGGGCCCCTCCCTAGAGAAGGGGCCTCAGATTCAGGACAGGTAATCACCCGGCCAACTTCTATTAATTCGAGGTTTGGACATTTTAGGGCTGGGGTTTCCTGGAGCCCCGCCCCCGCCTAAGGAGAGAGGAGTCATGGGGGCCCCTGCAGGCAGAGGGTTGGAAGGAGGGATTGTGCTCCCCTAGCCACCATGCTCAGCCAGCCATACGTCTCTTTTCCTGGGCCAGAATCGGAAGTCCTGGGACTGGCTGGTGCGGG